AGGCAAGGTACCCACCTCGTGGAAAACCACCAAGACTGTGTTGCTGTACAAGAAGGGAGACCTGTACGACATTGGCAGCTATCGCCCGATCTGCCTGCTGTCTGTAGTCTACAAACTCTTCACACGAGTCATCCTGAGGATTGGCAGAACACTAGACGAAGGACAGCCATGCGAGCAAGCAGGGTTTCGAAGAGGATTCAGCACGATCGATCACATCCACACGGTAACGAAGCTCATCGAAGTATCGCGAGAGTACAAGATGCCGCTATGTCTCACGTTCATCGACTTGAAGAAAGCCTTCGACTCCGTTGAGACAGAAGCGGTTATCGAAGCCCTGGGCAACCAGGGTATTCCTACTCAGTACATCAGGATTCTTCGTGAGCTCTACAGCAACTTCACGACCAAGATCTCACCATTCTACAAGGAGATCATCATTGATGTGAAGAGAGGGGTCCGACAGGGCGACACCATCTCGCCCAAGCTCTTCAGCGCCTCTCTCGAGAACGTCATGCGTCAACTGGAATGGGAAGACATGGGAGTGAAGATCGACGGTCGGCAACTACACCATCTCCGCTTTGCTGACGACATCGTTTTGATAACACCAAACATCGAGCAAGCGGAACGAATGCTGGCTGAATTCGACTGCGCGTGTGGAAAAATCGGTCTACGGCTGAATCTAACGAAGACGATGTTCATGAGAAACGGATTGGTATCTGATGCCCCATTCACGCTCAACGGAACGACCATCTCTGAATGCTCTAGCTATGTGTACCTAGGTCGTGAAATCAATATGATGAATGACCTAGCTCCAGAGCTGAGCAGGAGGAAGCGAGCGGCTTGGGGAGCCTTCAAGAACATCGAGGAGAGTAGAAGACGAAGAACACCAAGCTCCGTGCCCACCTCTTCGATTCCGCGGTCCTTCCTGCCTTGACGTACGCCTCAGAGACTTGGACTCTACGAAAGCAGGATGAGCATGCGGTCGGCGTTATTCAACGCGCCATCGAAAGGGCGATGCTCGGAGTTTCCCGCTACACGCAAGTGAGAGAGGGAATCCGGAGCTCCGCACTCCGCCAACGATCAGAGACGCCGCCGCATTTGCCAAGGTTTCGAAGATCAGGTGGGCCGGACACGTCATGCGTTTCGAGGACGACCGCTGGACCAGAGCAGTCACCGACTGGATTCCACGGGATGTCAAGCGAACGCCTGGACGACCGCCTATGCGATGGTCAGACTTCTTCGTGAAAGCTCTGAACGAATGGTATGAAGTTCATCGTGTCCCTCGAGCAGAGAGAGAGCACGTTGCAGGAGACGAATGGAGACGTTACTGGCGCCCTGCTCGAGGAACTCGATGATCAACGGGAGCACAGGTGATACAGGTGATACAGGGGGGGGGCAAAAAAAAGTCATTTTATCGGACATTTTTACTACCATATTAAAGAGCACATTAAATACTATAATGATACTCCGCCACAGCCTTCTGGAGGAGCGCCATCGAGAGATTCGGCCGCGCGAAAGTGAGTGGGTACCGGAGTTGAGCGAGATCGTTGATTTCTCCGCCACTGTAGACCACCCTGTTGAGCTCCGCCCGAACCGAGTAATTGAGGGGTTTAGTTCAGGACCCCCGCTTAAATACTCCATCTTTTCCAGGTACTCAACGTTCTTCCATTCCAAGTAGGCGAAAGTTTTTCCAACGCCCTTCGATTAAATGTGTTGTCACCCAAGCAGTACAAAGTTTCCAAGAAGGTACGGGCGACGACATGAAGATGGGATATTCTCCTCGAGTTGCTCGATGTAGCCACCAGCGCACACCCTCAGTCTGGGGCCCACGAAGAAAATATCGGTTCATCCATTCCAGGTACGGCCGGTCCACACCATCAACCCGCGCCTTGGTGAATGGGGTGAAGATGATGTCCTGGACCGTAGCGACGTTGCCGGAGCTGCTCGATGTTTGAGGTCTTGCAGATCAAGAGTACTGGTCTCCAGGTAGCTATCCATGGGTGATTCCATTCAAGAAGTTCCGCAGCTGTTTGGAGGCCACGTGAATTCCAAAGGCGTTCTCCACTCAGGCCGCGACTGGAGATGACTTCATATTTTGGTGTACATGAAGGTGAATGGCGGCAGCCGGCTCCTGCTTATAGAGGAAGATCTTGGGTATCTTCCGCCCTGGTACTCATATCCACTTCCTCTGTCTGGGCTGCGAAAACTTCGCTCATATGTGACTCGGCCGGAATGACTTTTTTTTGCCCCCCCCCTGTATGCTGGCCTTTGGCAGTCTAATCACGAATACGACTTTCATTCTTGGCGCCGGCACTAGTGGGGAGCACCCTGATCATCGGTCGGTTAAAATAGTTTAAATGATAACAATCTTGAGATCATAGTGGAATATCCTCACATCCTAGTACTTTCGTTAGGCAGCTTTCAGGGCTTCTGCTTTCTGTCGAAACTCGAGAATAGTGGTCGAATCAATTCCGACTACATCGCTAGACCACTAAGCCTTTGCCCACTGATCCTTGAGCCACGGTGGTCAAGTTCAGTCGCAAGCAGAGTAAGGATGCGAACAGATACTGACCCTTATGAGCCCTTTTCTCAAACTATATCACAACTTATCTCCCTTCACCAATGTTCCTTAACCCACTTCTGAATGACTTGCTGGAAGCAGTTCCCCAGTGTTGCTACAACTCGTGCTATGAACTTCGGAGGCACCCTCTTGAAAAAGGATATTATGGTATCTTCTTGGCTCTCATCACCTCCTGCCACCTACCAATGATGTTCCCATCCTGCTCCCTGTCTTGCTTCTTAGAACCAACGTTCTGCCGCTACTGTCATGCGCGTTATGAATTTGGTGGCTCACTTTCTCACTTTCTAAAGCCCCCTTATGGTATCTTATCAGCTCTTATCACTTCCTGCCACCTACCAATAGTGTTCCTGCCCGACCTCCTACATCACTTATCAGTTTGAGGGCACAGTCGCATTCAAAGGAAGTTGTGAATTAAAGACAAACATACATACCTTGAATACCTTGATGTCCGCTCTTCAAGGTTGGTTGCGCCATCCTTGCAGGACACATCTATGCCATTCGTTACGATTTCTTGCCATTTGTTGCCATCTCTGCCCATATAGTTTCTTAAAAGGATCACTCCACCTGGCTGGGGGTCTTCCTTGCGGCCTTTTTACACCACGAGGATACCAGTTGGTTACGCGATATGTCCATCGGTTATCGTCAAGACGAGCTACGTGTCCAGCCCATCTCTTTTTCGATAACATCTTTTACACCTGTCCGTCTTCGGATTTCACGAGCAGGGATCTTGTGCATTAGTGTTACTCGACACATTGCTCGCTCCATTGCCCTTTGCGTAGCAGCTAGTCTTCTCTCCTCATCTTTGATTGTGCTCCATGTCTCACTTCCATATACCAGTGCTGGTAGAACATGGGTGTTGAACACCTGAGATCTTATTGAGTTTCAATCCGTCTATCGGTGAGAACATCTCGGTATTTGTTAAATGTGGCCCATCCCTCCGGGTGATTTCACTTGTAAGATCATTATCCATCGTTAGGCTGCGTTTATACTTTGCGGCAGCGTAGCGTAGCGCTTCCAGCGTACGCCAGCGGCAGTGCCGGGGAGAGGATGCATATCGATCTAGCGTTCCCAGCGTCACCAGCGTCACGCTAGCGTACGCCAGCGTTTCTCCAGCGTTTCACCAGCGTTTTGCTAGCGTTTGCAGCGGCAGGGGAGTAGAGACTATGGGAGAGGGTACAAAACACATCGATTGCGCGTCTCTCACTCGCCCTCAGTCTCTACAATACACATCGATTCCGCGTCTCTGACGGCCACATAGTCTCTACAATACACATCGATTCTGCGTCTCTGACGGCCACATAGTCTCTACAATACACGTCGATTCCGCGTCTCTACGGCCACATAGTCTCTACTCCCCTGCCGCTGCAAACGCTAGTGAAACGCTGGAGAAACGCTGGCGTAACGCTAGCGTACGCTAGCGTGACGCTGGTGACGCTGGGAACGCTAGATCGATATGCATCCTCTCCCCGGCACTGCCGCTGGCGTACGCTGGAAGCGCTACGCTACTGCCGCAAAGTATAAACGCAGCCTTATTGCTTGGCCAAGATAGGTGAACGATGAGACTTCTTCAATGACTGATCCTTTCATGCATAAACGATAGTCATTTGTGTAGTTGTTTTTCATCCATTTGGTTTTTCCTGGATGTATTACAAGTCCAATGGATCGGGAGGCTTCGCTCTTCGACCTCGAGCGTTTATTGTTCCAATGTTTAGGAAACTGTTTGGCAGATCGCTTTCCGTGAGATTTCTCCCCCTCTGCCTTTGCCCTCTCTGCCAGGAAGGGCGGTGGCCGCACGGGACTGAGGGTGCTTCTTCTTGAACTTCACTCATAGATGTTGATGGCCTGGACTTACCCTCACCGCCTAGCCATAACTGGCGGTAGTACCACTGCCGGGTGTGGTACCTGTCCAAGAGGGGCCCGTTTTTAGCCTCACTCAACGCGTCGCTGTTCCGGCAACAACAACGGGAAGTAACATTGAGTGAGTTTACACCATCCCACCACAAACACACATACAGACACACATACATACATTCACACACACCAACCAACAGACAAACTTAGCGGATCATATATAGTAAGATAACACGTAAATAAACCTAGCAAAGCGATAGCTCGCCCTGCAGCTTGGCCAAGCAAACGGATAATACGGGCCTACAACTTCACCACCTTCTGCTTTCTTGTGCTTCGGCGCTGGCTGACCCCGGCATTAAGGCAGCGATAAAACTTCGCGACGGCAGCGCTTCGGCCGTTATCGAACGCGCGATCCAAGCGCTACCATCGCGAAGTCTGAACGCTGCCTGATGACCTCCAATTTTTCGAT